CTCCCTACAGGCACTGTTTAACGTATTTTGTAGTTTATAATTCTTTCATATTTTTTCCGGCTTCATGGGCACTTGAGCAACAGTAGAACCATATAAAAATGTGTTGCAGTAGAGTTAAAGTTTACATCTCCTCCATCTCTACCTTTCACCTGTTTTAAATCGGACAACCAGCTATTTTGCAGTGCAGTTAATAAACCTTTGTACTTGTATTTTAAGCAGAAGAGTTATGTGCCCATCTAAACTGTAAAGATGCTTCAGCTGTCAGTCACATAATATTATTCTTTGGGGAAACGGATGGAATTTGTACATCCAAATCCAGGGCTCCCAGAATAGCTCATCTTACTTTGTTAAACCATTAAGTCTTAAATTCCTACTCATTCACAGCCTAAAAGAGGTCGACTTGTGTACTACATACTGTGCAGCTGGTTGATGGATCTCTGGGCTCTCAGGTGGTAATTTTAGATTTCACTGCATATATTGACTACATCCTGTAACCCTGATGAAAAGCTACTGAACCTGGAACTCGTTGTCTTTATAACCTTTGACTTTTTAAACCCTCAAATTATTTTGCACTGGAAAGTTTCTGATACTTTTCGTTCCCAGGAACTAAAGTCCAAGAACTTTCCCTGGGGCAAAATGCATTGTAAGAATGCCACATGTAAAATGCTGTTGCTGTAGTTTAGCAGTCAGTGATGTTCAGCACTGCACGACTTGCTCAAGTAATACTTGGACCTTCAGAAAGTACTACTCGCCAACTAGGGACTTTCTGGGGGATAGAACTTTGCCCCAGAACTAAAATTAGGCCCCGGTTTCTCCGGTGGAAACATAGGCAGCAGAGCAAAAAGGCTCCTGATCCCTGGGAAAAGGACCTCTGGTGGAAACAAGGTTGTGTTGTACTGAAGGACTGGTTTAAATCTCTTCTATAATAAAGCAGTCAACAAGAAGTTGACTAAACTAGTGAATGAGTTTTAGCTCTGGGGAAAATAATTTTAGTGTACCCGTGGGAGTGGTGGTATTTGAACTGGTGTTCATGTGATATAACAAGACAAGGTCTTCAGAATGTACCAAGTCAGCTACAGCTGTCACACCAAGGTTCCCTGTTTAGAAAATTGTGTGCGTGCCCACACTCATGTCACTCATGCTCTCCTCCTTCCCACACTTGCGCACCCACAGTTGAAGGATGAACTGTCTGCATTCTCCAGTGTTGCACAGACCATTTCCTCTGGAGTGTCTGGTTCCGCTTGGCGGAGGAGCTTGTTTGACTGTGTGGTCCTCCTGTGGTGGCTGTGTTTCCCAGATTAAACATTTACACAGCATCTTGTTAGCTCTTCAAACTGGTAAACCAGTTATTTATACAGCAATTCTCCAAAGTGTTGAGCTTGATGAAATACAATTTTAACTTATTCAATAAAGATTCGAATGAAGATGACTTTTAATTATAATCGTCCTGGTAAACAGGCTATACTATACCAGCTATAAATAATATGAAGCACTTCAAGGGGTCATGTGAAATTTTTTTTTTTTTTTTTTTTTTTTTTTTTTGCTTCAGACAGAGAGAACACCTCAGATTGTATTGGTTTGTTTGGTCATAAACTACAAACTTGGTTAACCTTTTTAGAAGCAGTTATTTTGGTGACCATGTGCTAGCAACTTTTTTTTTTATCAATTTTTCATCCAAAGTGTCTCAAACCTCTGTGTCCGAGACTGAATCTTAAGGTCCAGGGTCACTGATCCTTTGCTCTGATCCTGTACTTTGATTTCTGGAGGGAAGGAGTTGAAAAGAGAATTTCTCCTCAGCAATTTGTGACGTATCATTATTTTTATTTTTTATTTTTTTTTTTTTACCTAGTCTTTTTGAGAATTGGCAACCTCTGAGCTCTCCTTTTTGCTATATAAAAAAATTGGCCCACATCGAGTTTCTATAAGAAAAATGATTCAGGATCAAGGAGGTCTTGCACAACCCTGATCTAGAGACATATTAACATCTTTTTATGTGTGTGCTGTAGTTCAATGAAGGACAAAGGACAGCAGTATGTGACCTCAACTGTTCCAGATGGAGCTCTTAGTTGGGAGGAGGGAGTCGTAACCAGCCGCGGGCTATTTAGAAAGGAGCTGCCTGCCCCCGCGTGATGAGGAACGCAGTCAGTTCATGCAGAGAGAATGTACCAATCTGGCCTTCGAGCTATTTACATTTAATGCACCCTATTAACAATTGACTTAACCACAGAAAGGGAATGACCTGCCATTAACTCCTATGAAATGACTTTCTGTGGTGTAGACAGAGGAGAAAGAACTCTGACCAAGTCGTTTGTGGTGTCGGTTTCTCAGGGACCACCAGAGGCTTCAGTGTTGGCCTCATCGGTTTCAAAAGTGTACTGTTACTGCTGCGATGTAAATAAACCTTGTGGAGCTTGACTGGGGCAGGGAAAGCTGTGTGCCCCTTGCTCTAGGATCTGATTGGACTCTAGTCCAAGTCCTGGACTCGGGTACTACAATACTAAGTTAAGTACTTGCAGACAGTTTCTTCTAAACTGAAGACACCACCATTAAATGTTACCCATTTTTGATGTTTTCCTGTGGAGACCTGATTTAATATCAGTTTGGCAGACTACTACAGTATGTGGATATCCACACTTGCTCATTCACAGGAAAATCATGCTTATTTTCACACAGTTGTAATTTACATCTGAAATACATTTCTGGCCTTTTATTTTATAGGTTAAGTAGCTATTGTCACAGCAGTTTAGGTGGTTGTAAACACACAGGAGGCTAATTTACATAGAAATGTCCCCTCAAGGTCTTGAAAGCTTTATAAAAGTGGTTAAGGCTTGAAATAACAGTAGTTGTTGCCTGTGTCAGACATTTGACAAAAGTTGTCATATCACAAAAATGGATCAGCCAAAATTGGTCAGAATGTGTACAGACAAATGTCACTGTCCCAAGTGTTATGTCCGTTTTCTTTGTCACTGAAAAGTAAAATGCTAGTTTTGCAAAAGATGCAAGAGAATACAGAGAAGTTATTCCCTCTAGTATATCATCAGCTTACTTATGACTCCTGAAAAGCCCAGTTTTGTTCCCACACCAAGTAGCAATAAAACATCATTGCTGATCTTCTTGCTGCATTGCAGTAAATCCATGCACTGAAGGTTTTTTAGTTTGTACTACAGCAATGCGTTCCATTTTGTTTGAACCTGTACTCCAGTGCCTGTTACAAAACTCATTTGAACCTTTGACTGCCATCCAGTGGGCACCCTGACAGTCATATTGAGGCTGAAGGAGCAAAGGTTAGGGAGGGTATCTGCAGTGTAATCTACCATGTAAACATTCACGGGGCTGTCAGTGACACCATCTCTTGGTCAACATACCTGTATAGAGAATGTGAGGTTGCTGTCACGGCGTGTTGAATTTTGGGTAAATGAGCCCATTTGGAAGATCATGCTCATTATCCATCATAGAAATAGATACTATATACAGCTATAATTTCATTTAAAAAATAAATACTATCCTATATGTCTATATACAGTAGCGGATGCTTCAACTACATCCAAACGCCCTCTTTAGTGTTCAGTTTGACCACAGACAGGACAGAGTCCTCTGCAGTGTTTGTGTCGTCTGCCAACAGCTGCTAGCTCCCGAGCGAAGCTGAGTTCAGGGTGCAGAGTACTTTTTCTGCCTGTCGCTCTCATTGTCAGGATCTCTAGGTCTGCTACGAGTCAGCTACAGTTATCCATTCTGAGTGACCCCAGTCAGTAAAGTGATTTCTAAATGATTTGAGCAGCTTTATAAGCAAACATAACAAGATTGTATGCAGGTAAATACAGCTCTCATCTCCCAAAATGGTGACCCCATCCCAACGTTCAACACTGCATGACGTACCTTTACACTCTCGGTTCATCAAACTGTTATGAGACATTGCAAAAAGTTCCACAGTATTGTGATGTAAATTAAATATTTTAATGATCACTTTTGGCATCACTGTTATAATTATAAATTGCCATCAGATGCTCTCTTTGTGACGCAGAGGCAAA